AGGCACTTCCTCATGTCAACGATCCGCCTGTACATGTCGTAGCACATGTACGCCTCCTTGGCTGCGTACACGATGTGAGCTTTGTCGAGTTTCTCCATCCAGGCCGAGTGCCAGGCACGCTTGTCCTTATTGCAGGAATCCTTCATGTCTCTATAGTAGGGGTCGATGATGGCCTCGGCGAGATGAACCAGTGAGTCCTTCTCATGCTCCTTGCTGCCCCAGATCTTGTTGGCCCTGGATGTCGACAAGATTCTGGCAAGTGATGCCCGAATTCTTGAGCACCTTGACATCGTTGGTGATGTCCACCATAGCAAACATGTAGTGGGAGTTGTTGACAAACATGGCGAAACGCTCGCAAGGCCTTGTGGCCAGGCAGTAGTGGTAGACAAGGACGTGGTTGCGCATGCACATATGGGCGGCGACAACCTTGGGACGAGAACCGGCACGCGTGCGGGTGTACTCGAGGTCGAAGCCGACCACCTTGTACTTCTCCTCGGCAAGCAACAACTCCATGATGTGGATGGAGTGCTCCACCCAGACCGAGTTGTTGGTGTACACCACCGAGAGCTCCGTGAACCTTCGGTGGGTGTCCACCATGACATGCATGGTGAACTGCTGCTCGTCATCGGCAGCCACTCAGAGCACCATTGGAGCCGCGCGGGATACCCTCTAAGAACTTGTCGCGGTGGGCGTGCTTCTTGCAATGGTGGGGCGCGATCGAAAGGTTGAACATACACAAGAGGCTTAAATGGCCGCTGTAACAAATGGAGGCCAGCCGGCCTGTAATCGTCACATCTTGTCACGACGTTCATAGTGGAGGATTCCAGTGCACGCTTGACAACACCGCACCGCACGTGTTTCGTTTGGCCATGCGTGGGCTCGAAGAGGCGCCAAATGTATCGTCGATGAGCCTGTTCCCGCGCTACCGTGCGGTTTACCGCGCAAGCTTCCTGCCCGGCTAGTTTGGCCACGCGTCGGCTAGAAGAGGGACAAATCGTGAGCGTTTATTGACAAAAAGCTTTGTAAAAATGAAGTGTGTGGAATGACTTCGGTCATAAGTTTACCCGTTGGTGATGAGGTCAAAGTTACACATAAGGGTGATGATGGACACTCGAGTGCGATAATTAATTCTGCGCTCTACAGGGCACATGGTGGAAGAAACCAACTGTGTGCAATAATGTCGAAGATCGCAGTTGAGTTAGCTATACAGATCATGTGCTGTGAGATCGACAAGGTAAACAGATTCGCGAATGGTTAATAAAATCTAAGACCATTGCATATTAAGGTCAAAATAGTGCTACCAATATACGAGTCTCATACGATGCCATTCAATGATTGTACCACAAAAGCTCGAAATATTACAAGGTTCAAATTCCAGAGTTATATGGCTCAAATTCGAAGATTACAAGGTTCAAACTGATATTAGAAATGAAATTCAGCTCATCAGCTGCAAACGCTCGCGTTGATCCGCTGGACATGGATATCAGAGAGGTTCAAACTAATATTACCACTTCTAAGTCTGGTTTCGAAACCTCACAATTTTTGCAAAGGGGGTCAGCCACTGAGAAGTCATGTATGGGGTTGACACGATGACTTACGATTACTCCGTCGTCTGAAGTTCCAAAATGAAATTCAGCATTTTTGGAGCCTATTCCATTCTGCTGCAGGCGCCGGCGCTGATCAACAACCCATTCATTTTTGCAAAATAAATGTAGGGCAAACCTCATTATCTTCAGCACCCTTGCTTTGACAACAAAGAACCTGGCTAATATAATCTCTGGTAAGGTCCCTCGATAGGAGTTCAAAGTAATTTCTGAGGGATGCAGATCTAGGCATTCGACGTGATTGTTATATTGTATCACATTATCCACCACTGGGCCTAATCTTATCTGCAAAAGAAGAAAATGTGTTAGTGCCTACATGCAGTTCTGAATTGTCTAAAAAAATGCAGTTTTGAACACTACTACAGGCCTATTTGGTTTGCAACATTTGTAAAATGCACTAACATGCCATCTTCGATCTGACATGATTAACATGGGCATTAACATGCCATCTTCGATCTTCACAAGAGGTTGGAGTGGATAAAAAGTACTCTAAAAAAACTAGTACAGATGAATCCAAAGAAGAAATGCATATGGATTGTAACCATAAGGATCAAGCAACCAATATGAAGGGGGAGGGGGGCATGTATGTACTGAAATCCTCCAAAAGAATCCTTCAGAAATCGTAGTACATTGTCATTGTAAACTTGGAAAAGGATGTCACAAATTGAACTCCCTTATGATTAACATTTAACAGGAAAGAAACATCACCTCGATATATAGCTTCTCCAGGCACGAAAAGCATCTCAGGGAACTGACAGCTTGCTCCAGGTTGGGGCCGATAGATTCTAGTGCCAAGACCTTCACTGTGCGCAGTTTGGAGTCAAACTTATCGGAACCATTTTCTGAATGACAGGCAAGCAAACATCTTCAAAATTAGAAATAATGTTAATTTGTAGGAGAGGTAGAAGGCGGTTGTTGTACCTGAACGGGTGTGGATCCAATAACAAGTTCGGAGTATTTGTCAAACGAGTAGCACAACGCTGTCAATTTCGGTGCAGAAATGACATTGATTCTTGTTGGGCCTACTAGATCAAGTACAAGTAATCTCTCAAGTGCAGATATGTCCTCAATGACCATATCGTGGTACACATCTTGTGATGTCTTCCTGCCGAACCAGCAACACACATGCACACTGTGTTATAGAACAGAAGAAGTACATTAATCTAGACTGTTATCTCCACGAATGGACGGCTCATAGATCCATGGTAGAAGTTTCGGTATCATTTCTAGAAGCTGAAGAAGCATGTGAGAAGTTTGGAAGTATCCAATATCTGCTCTAGAAGAATCTTTGGGTGACCCTGACTTCCAAGTTAAGTTTTTTTTTTTTTGAATCCGGGTTAAGCTTTTGGCATGAAGACCCCCTTACCTCAGAACAACCATCCTGACTTGTGACTTGCGAGCTAAGGTTTCCGTGAAAGATCCGCCGCACATCTCCACAGATCGACAACGCCGCAGCATGCAAAGCTCTGACGTGGCCTGTTTGACACGCTAGCCGCCACATAGCTGAGCCGGGGCTCTGCACCAGCCAATGACGGTTGCTCCGTGGAGGTCGCGCCCTTATCCGGCCGTCCATCGGCGATAAAGCCGGGACGCGGGCGCCTGCCTAAAACAGCAACGTACTAAACGCCGCCGGCACGGCCCCACCGGTTCAGCTGAGTAGATCACCACCTGTGCATCGTTCATCGCTCACTCACTTCCCCCGCGGCGCCGAGCGACCGGCGCGGAAATGGCGGAGGCGGAGGAGTGGGAGAGGCAGAAGAGGGGGAGGAGGAGGAGGCGGCGGCGGGGCAGGAGGGAGAGCGACGGCAGCGACCCCGTGGAGGTGCTCGGGGAGGAGGTGATGGGGCTGGTGATGGAGCTCCTGGACGCGCGCAGCGTCGCGCGATGCACGGCGGTCTCCCGCGCCTGGTTCGGGGTCGCCGCCGACAACCGCCTCTGGGCACCCAAGGTACATCCGATTCTCGCCCCGCCGGCCTCTCGCCTCGTCTCCTGGCTCTTTGCCCTCCCTCGGCATCTGCTGCAGCCTCAATGGCCTTCGTGATTCGTGGTTTGCGCGATGTGCCATGTGAGCTGCACCTGTTCGATGAATTTCAGGCATGGGGGGTTCGGACTTTGTGTGGTATAAGACGGGAGTCCGCGACATGTGGCGTAGTATGTGACAAACTTCATGTGGCATTATAGTTTGAGCAAATATTTTTTTAATATGACGTTCACATGCTGCAAAAATAAGTAGTATCATTTTTACAAAGGATAAACATGTTCCCTTTATCTCAGAAATAGTTGCTTGGAAGGAAAAAAAAAGTCAGAAACAATATACATTTTGGGAGAAAAAACAACAACATACATTTTGGGAGAAAAAACAGCATATCTTAATTTTACTTCTGGATTCTCAGTGTGCTGTTTTAGTTTTTTTTTCTCCCTATTTTTCAGTTCTGGAAAGTACCTATAAATCTCTTAGTTTTCAAACGAAGTTCAGCGTTCTTAGTGTTTTCTTTCTGCAGTATATATGGATAATGCAACTTATTCTTTCATGAGATGTTATTCATTTTAGTATTTGCTATATTGATCAAACACAAAAGCATTGCGTTTAGATATGTTGGCAGAAAAAAAAAAGTTGTGTACAAGTCTAAGAGGACCAACGGTGCTAGATGGTTTGGTTCCTTGTGGTGGAACCCGCACATGCGGCTTCGAGTCTCAAGTCCTAGACTTGGTAAAGATGGCTGCATTTTGTTGGATGTATTCCTGTATTTTCGGCATGCTTGCGTCTGCGTGTACTGTGTTTCTAAGAAAAAACAATCCAACCCCCCACCCCACGGACACAAGTATAGAACGCAAGAACGCAACACCCTAAGCAAACGGTAACCATGAAAGCAAGGTGGTTCATGGTCTCCATGGATTGATTGCAAAGTGGGAAGCACGGAGGCTGCTGCAGACCCCGCCTAGCAAGTTATTCAGTTGTCCAGCAGTGATCATGACATGCCAACCAACTGAAGAACTTCGCCCTTGATCTCGAGGTAACCACCCCCTCAAAGAAGATGCGGAAAATTTTGTATATCGGAATCCAATGTTTCTAAATTTTCTTGAATATTTTCATGGCCACCAATGAAAATAAGGTCAATCAGATCAACGCTAGGTAAGTGCCTCATGTTCACGTCACCATGAATTTAAATGAAAATAACTTGATCAGACCCCTCCATTAGCATATGTAATTAACCAGAGGCCCAACAAATTTGATAAACATGAGTTTATTTTATTTTCTTTTTAAAACAGAGGAAATTCCAAATTTAAACTGGGGAGACTTGATTGAACAGAGAGGTGTGAGGGAAAAACCTATGACAAAAAATACTCTTTTTATATAAGGCCATTCCAATGTTTCTTTTGCAGTGTGCTGAACTGATGGTCGGAAAGGCGCATATTCCTCGTCTGACAATGATCTGTACTGCATCAAAGTTGTCTACCTATTCAATGGCCATCATGGATGGCAAACGGGTGAGTTCCAGAAATATTTTCTCTTAGGTTAAAAGAATGCAATAGATCAACAGCAAAATATAATTAATTGTTCTCATGTGCCAGCAGTACTATTACCACAATCACTCCAAAAGATAATAATGCCTATCACAATCTACTGTTAAGGTTTTCTTATTTTAGTTTTCCCTCCACAATAATTCCAAATTTTTCCATATAATCTTCCTTCTTTTGCTCCATATAGTGTGAGTAAATTAATGTTGAACATTGGAACCTGGGGGCATTCTTTCTGGTTATCAGTTTTTTTTTTATCTTCTGACATAGAGGAAACATGAGTATGTTCAATTCATCATTGTCCTCGAGACATATTATATTATCGTGACTTATTTTCTTGCGCAGAATCGGATCACAAAAGAGGATCTCTGTGATCATGCATGGGAATATCGTTTCACTATTGTAAGTTTTCTCAATTTGTCATCCTTTTGCATGTTTTGAAGTATGAGTTTATACATGGCTACAAATCATAATGCTAGTGGCTGCTAAGCCTAGTGGCTGCTAAGCCTACCGCATAACTGACCTGCTAGTTTTGAGTTCAACTGGTTGTAGTCAACCATGCCGAGAGGAATGCTAGGATTATGAGAACTTTCTGCATCTCTCTAGTTTCTTCGGGTGTCTTAGCTTCCAACCGCACTGAGGAAGATCGAGGCATATATCTTATGGTGGTAATTAAAGTTAAGTATATGAAATGTGGCAAAAATATATCATGGTGGTAATTGGATGCTTGAGGATCTGCTGGATGCAGTTATATGCAGTTTAAAATTCATAATAACTCCCGACATATTGAGTGCACTTTTCAAATGAAATATATGGAGTATGGTTGCTTGACTAATGGGGGAAAGTCATGATATATTTTTCTTCTACTATCACAGGCAGCACCAGAGTACTGGAGGAATCTCGATCCGTCCTGGAAGCGCACTGGTCCACCCATGCGACGATACTTCCACCATGATGGTTACCACAGTGCAGACCCTCATGACGCTGTCCGGGGTGGCCATGAGTGTGAGTACACGATCATAACAAGCTTTGTCGGTGATGGAAGAATCAGAGATCATTATGTGAGGATCAACCGGTGGCCACCGATGAAAGTGTCGAGAAAGGAAGATTGGAGCTGGGAGCTATCCAACCACCTCTACCGCTACAACAGCATCCCTGATGCTGAAAAGGAAGGATGTACAGGTCCGCTCTTCCCGGTTTGGTGAGTTCACTTCTATGGTAGCAGATCAGTCCGTCTGCGGTGTGATCCTGCAATCTTCTGGTCGTCAAAATCAAGCCTTGATCTTCCATCTCGTTGAATGTTGCAGCAGGAGACTTTGTTTTGCAGCAATTAATGAGCTATGAACTTTTGTGGATGTACTTAGTTCTTTTAGAGAGAATGGATAACTTAGCTAAGCTCAGGTGTGTGAGCTACTCCCTCCGTAAACTAAAGTAGTGATCTAAACGCTCTTATATTAGTTTACGGAGGGAGTAATATGTATGATAGTACAGTAGTTGCAGCTAGCCTATGATGATACTATGTGTTCGTCTCGGTAGTTTGATCTTTTGTCACGTAGTATGTGATCTGTAAAATACCCTGAACTACTAGAAATGGTATGTGTGTGTAAACCTTCTTTGATGTTGTACCTTATGTAATGAATGCTATGTGTGCTATGGATATACATGCGGTTGGTAGCTCGCTACTGAAGGTCCGTCAAAGGGACTCTGTGGCTAACAGTAGCCTCCCCCGTCCCCGCCCCGCCTGCCACTCCGGCCGCGGCGGCCACCTCCTCGCCGCTGCGCCGGGCAGCGCCGCCCCTCCAGCCCTCATGGGGCGCTCCAGCCGCAGCCGCTCGCGCTCCCCATCCTGTTCGGTGGACAGCGCGGGTTGGGGACAGCCTGCGTCCGTGCCTTGCGCGGCCAGATTCGCCGGTCTGTCCGGGGCTTCGGTCCCCAGCTGCTCCAGGCCGCCGCGTCAACGGCTGACCCTGCTTCTCCGCCGCGTTTGCTGCTCCGGGGCGAGCGCTCCCGCCCGGCCGCAGGGCCTTCCACGCCTGGTTCTGCTGCGACTCCCCTTTTGGGGAACGGTCGTCTTAAACCCATCGTGGTAGTGCCCTTCTCCTACCTCGCAACATTCCTCTTCGGGCGATGACGACGGATGGACGGCGGTCAGATCCCGTAAAGACAGGCGCGCGGGGAGATCCCCGCCGGTCCGTAGCGGTCGCCACCCCCCGCGTCGCCCTGGCTGGTGGCCCGCCTTTAATGCTGACCCGAGACGCAGGGCCTTCTTAAACCGCTTCAAGGGCCTCTGCCTCCGGTGCCTCAGCCCTCATCACCGCCGCATCAACAATAGAGATCCCCTGCACTACATCGAGTGCAAACTACTGGGCTATTTCGCCAAGGATCCCCCACAACTGGCACGGCGGCGGCCCTGCCCTCGAGCGGCCGGGTCCCTGCTGCTGGGAGGGGGCCTGTTAGGGAGCGGTTGCACTTCCGCTCGCCTCCCGTCACCATGGCGCACGCGCACCACACCAACCCCTTCCGCCGGCCGAGGTCGAGCCACAGCGTCCTCATCGAGTCCCCGACCACGGAGCACCAGACCACCCTGCTGCGCCGCCACCTCGTAGTGCTCTCTGCAGCTACCAAGAACCACGTGGCCAGCCCGATGTCAATGGAGGGCGCCATCGACGCGCAGCTCCACGGCCATCTCCACCTGTTGCGGGTGACCAACCACGACCCAGAAGACTTCCTGGGTCACTTCCAGCTCCCCGCGCATCGCGACAAAGCGGTGCGCCTCAGCGCGCTTACCGTCGATGGCGTCCACTTCGTCATCAAGTCGTGACACAAGGACGACCACACCACGCTCCACGACTACATGTTGCACGTCCGGGTCGTCATTGAGAAGATGCCCATGTAGCTCTGGTCGCTACGGGGGGCCGAGAAGGTGCTCGGCAAAAACTGCATCATCGACCGGCTGGACAGCCGCACACACGAGCGGGGCCACACGAAGACATTCGCGTGTTGGACGTGGGTGTGGGACGTCGCCCACATCCCGATCAGGCACACGCTTTGGAGGGTGACTCGTGGTGCCAGGCGCATCGATGCCATGCTCGGCTTCTCGCCGCTGAGCCGCGAGGTGGCGTCGCCGCCGCGCGTCCGGCGACACGACATGCTGATCCACGTGGACCGAGTCAAGGACTGGTCGCTGCCCTCGCCGCGTTCCTCTCGCTCCGCGCAAAGAGGACTGCCTTCCTCCGACTGCGACTAGGGTCGGCTCGTGCCCGCTGTCTGGCCCGGCCCGTGGGTCATGCACGTCGAGGACGGGTAGGGCTAGCCTGGGAAATAACAGAGAGCTCATATTTTTGTGATGAACTTTGGAAAATAACAAAGAGCTCATATTTGATCCAAATGCCATGATTCAAATTTCCAGATACATATAAGTTCATAACTTAGGTTATGAACATTTGTCTTAATACTTTCTGTGCCACACAAAATAATGAGCCATTTCTTCATATTTGTCGACTTTGCAAATTCATAGGAAAATCATTTGAACTCCAAATCCAGTGAAACCAATTTCTAAATGTTTCTAAAATCATGCCTGATTTAATGGGTACTTTTACTCATTTTTATAAAAAGGCATCCTATGGACAACTCGTAGATCCATTAAGTCCATTGAATTCATCATATTGAAATGTTTAGAATTATCCACTGGTCCAATCCCAATGAAACCACTTTGGTTATTTTTCATATAAACAGAGATGTCCTAAAAAAGTCAAACTCATATTTTTAGAGCACTTTTATTTTTGTCCTTTTTGTGTTGCTTATTGTGTTTGTTTCCGACGTTAGTTGACGAAGTAGACGGAGTACTTGAAGATGGACCAGGAGAGATGAAGACTTTGCTGAGCCAGGCAAGCAGCCCTTTGACCATGTCTATGAAACCCCTTTTTATGCATGTCATATAGCACTTTATTATTGTTGCATCGGAATATTGATGAGATGGTAGCCACTTCGGTGGGTTGCCTTCGTTTCCTCCTTGTTGATACTTGCATTATGCATGACCCTACCTTCCGACAAGGGTTATGCCGGTGGGAGTAGATATGATGCTAAAGTAGATGCTACGCAAATGGGACGGGTATATGCATGGTGATGGAGACAAAAGTATTTCCAAAGACTTTTCGAAAACCCCGTCGGGTGCCACTAACGCCCGAGGGAGATGATGAGCTAGGTAACTGAGGGAGTCCTGGATTAAGGGGTCCTCGGGCGTCCGGGCTATGTGACGTGGGCCGGACTAATTGGCCATGAAGATACAAGATAGAATACTTCCTCCCGTGTCCGGATGGGACTCTCCTTTGCGTGGAAGGCAAGCTTGGCGTTCGGATATGAAGATTCCTTCCTCTGTAAACCTACCCTGTACAACACTAGGTCCCTCTGGTGTTTATATAAACCGGAGGGTTTAGTCCGTAGAGGCAATCAGAATCATACAGGCTAGACATCTAGGGTTAGCCATTATGATCTCGAGGTAGATCAACTCTAGTAAACCCCATATTCATCCAAGATAATCAAGCAGGAAGTAGGGTATTACCTCCATCAAGAGGGTCCGAACCTGGGTAAACATCGTGTCCCTGTCTCCTGTTACCTTCGATCCTCAGACGCACAGTTTGGGACCCCCTACCCGAGATCCGCCGGTTTTGACACCGACATTGGTGCTTTCATTGAGAGTTACGTTGTGTCGTCGTCAGAAGGTTTGATGGCTCCATCAGTCATCTACAACAATGCTGCCCTAGGGGAGGTCTTTCTCCCCGGCCAGATCTTTGTGTTCAGCGGCTTCGCATTGCGGGCCAACTTGCTTGGCCATCTAGAGCAAATCGACAGCTATGCCCCAGGTCACCAGATTAGTTTTGGAAATCTGGATTATGTCACCGATATCTGAGGAGATTTGATCTTCCAAGGGTTCGCGACCCCAACCTCCGCTCTGGCCTTAGATCCGAAGTGCATCACCAGGTCCGAAGACGGGATTTCCGAGCCCGCCAGACTCTCTGCGGCTATTGAGCCTAGTACGGGAGAGCCGAAAGAAGTAGTGTCACCGGCAATCATCATGAAGCCAGACTCCTCTCCGAACACTGGCTCCGAACCCTTGGAGTCAGCATCGTGTGAGCTCGACCAAGGAGTTTCCTTCCCGCCGTACTCCACGGACTCTCTTCTCCCTGGCCAAACCTCGCCTTTAAGCGAGGCTCTGGACTTAATGTGATCCCTCGTCATTACAGAGGGGCAACGTCCAAACCATGCCCAGCCCGGTCTAGGGGCTGAGAGTGGAGAATTTTACATCCCACCCACCACCCACTTCATAGCCACTGTCGAGGACTTAACCGACATGCTCGATTACGGCTCCGAAGACATCGACGGTATGGACGAGGATGCCGGAGAAGAGCAGGCCCAAAACCCGCCGTTTACCGAACGCTGGACGGCCACCTCTTTGTATGACGTGTACATGGTGGATACACCCAAAGAGGGTAACGACGATAACGAGAAAAATCCAGTTGAGGATACACCTCCTGAGACATAACCAAAGCGCCAACGTTAGCGGCGCCGCTCTAAATCACATCGTGCAAAAGATAGCAATACTGGCACCAGAGATAACAATACTCTGGACGACGCCGAAGACCAAGAAGACCCCGTCGAACCAACCTCCGAACAGGACGATCGGGAAGATGGGCAAATTGGCCCTGATGAACAGGTTGTAAACGAAGACTCGAGGATAGTAATTATCTTCCACTCTCCGAGGATGAGGTGAGCCTCGGCGATGAAGACTTTATCGTGCCTGAGGAACCCCTTGAACAGGAGCGCTTTAAGCGCCGGCTAATAGCCACAACAAGGAGCCTGAAAAAGAAGCAACAGCACCTTCAAGCTGACCAAGACCTGCTCAACGACAGGTGGACTAATGTCCTTCCAGCAGAGGAATACGACCTCGGGTGCCTAACCAAGAGTTACCCGAAGCGTAAGCTGCAACCTCAATTCAACGACGAAGCGCTGGAGCCCGTACCATCAGCGCGTAACGCGGCCGACCGACCACCACGTGGCCGGGGGAAAATGGCAACTCAAGCCGAACACCAGCCCGTACTACCTCGCCGTAAAAGTAGAGACACAACAGCTCAGGGATATACGTATGACCTACGACAAGACTTGGAAAATAGAGCAGGTCAAACCAGATTGATCTATGGATCGCGGGGGCGTGCCCCGACGCGCAAGGATGGCTATCTAGCCGGGCGCAACAAGCATAACCACGTTCGGGCTGAAAACCGCAGACAGACTCCATCCGAGCTGCATTGCAACTTGGCCCGATATAGAGGCGCCGCACACCCCCTCTG